AACTTTGACGCTAGCAATGGATGGTAGAAAACTTGTTCCTATCTCTTTGCAATCTGACAAGACTCAGCGGTACCACATAGCAACCCTTTGGGAGTACTTCAGAGCTGTTTTGCTTCCCTTTTGCGCCCATCTTATCCAGAGTATTTAAGAGAATCTCTCTTATTCTCAAGCAGAGGGGAATTTTCAGGGACTGTTATGTAAAGAGATAGCTTGGTTCTAGCTGATTTTCAGAGGAAGTTTGACTCCTGTGGTTCATGAAAACATTCATGTTACTGTCTTCATAGCAATATGGAAGTGACTTGCCACTACCTTCCAGGATGTTTTTTCAACTGCCCAGTCCAGTTCATTTTCCTCATATTTCCTGGGAATATCCTATCCAGGTAATAATGAGATTCAACCCCATTCAGCTCTTTGGAGATCAATGTCAAAAACGAAGAATCAGGACCTCATATGAAGTTCCAATTAAGTTGATTTATTGCTCATGCCTATACACAACAATCAACTAAGACTCAACACTAAATTGATGCTAGGTAAGAGTTAACAGGATTCAAGAGGACAGGATTCAACGTAACAATTCTAGATTCTGTCCTCTCTTGAATCTGCCTCTGCCTCTTCTCACACAACTAGTGTTGATCAATAAGACTTTGGTACAGGCTGTCATTCTTTTACAAATAACAAAGACACCATCCTCTTCCTATTTTCCCCACAGCAGTCCCGTGAGGTTAACTGACCAAAGAGAGTGACTAGTTTAAGGTCATCCAGCTGGCTTTCATGGCTAAGATGGGACTTGAACTCATGGTGTGCTGCTTTCTAGCCTGGTGCCCTAACCACTAGACCTCCTTATGCAATCTGACAAGCGAAGTCAATGGAGAAGTCAGATTCATTTAACAACTGTTGCCAACTTAACAACTGCAGTGATTCACTTAATAACTGGCAAGAAAGGTCGTAAAATGTGGTAAACTCACTTAACAAATGTCTCACTGGGCAACAAAATTTTTTTCTGCACAATTGTGGTCCTAAGTTGATGTACATATAAAAATACAAAATAAAAATAGAAAAAGACAAATTGGCATGGGAAAATATCAACAATAAAATGTTTTCTTAGCTGCTGTGGTCGCAGTATTTTCAAAATAATTAATGCTAAGCCAAAATCTAAGAACTTTTTCACTTTTCCAAGACAAGCAGGATACCTGGAAAACCTGGAGTAAACATGAAAACCCAACCCTGTCAAATCCATTCCAGGCTTACTTTCCTTCTCTGTCTGGATATTCTGGAATGATTAGAGCAAGAAAAATGTAACATTTTCATTTAGTTGTTAATATGTGTAAAAATGATTTTTAAAACCCTGTTTCTTACCAACCACGAGACCAAACTGACTAGATAACACTCTTACATCCAGATAGTGTAAAAACCTGTCTTTGTAGGACTTTCAGTGATCACAGGTAGTTCTTTTAAATTAATAGATACTTTGCTTATCATCAGCTGCCTGTTTTTCTTGGCAACAGCAGTTCAGCAGTCATCTAGGTCCTTTTTAGTTTTTGCCTAAGATTGTGGAAAAATTAAAAAATAAAACAAATGTCTGTCAGTCCACAAATTTACCAGCAACTAGGTATAGATATTTATGGATGACTGAATTTCTTTTCTTCACTATCTGGAAATATCCCTTAATTTTACTCTTGGATTTCCATTGTGGGACATGTATAGCCTATAACCTATAGGGGGAATCAACGCAAACTCCAGGCCACACACCCCCAGCTTCCTATTTATTGTTTCACAATTTACAAAATCATGCTCATCCTGATATAGGAACATGACTGACTAGATTAGCAGGGGTGTCAAACTTGCATCGTCATGACATCGTTATGTGACGTATTGAGACTTGCGGGCTGTGAATTTGACACCCCTGGTCTAGAGAGAACATTTCTCTTTTAAATAGTAAAACAGGCAGGAGATGAGGAGACAGCCCACTATGAATCTTCAGGGGCCAGATAGGAATGAATGTTGGTGACCTATTTGGCCAAAGCTCAGCTTTCAGGAAAGAACATTCATAATGCCAATTATAACTCAATAATGGGATCAAGAGGAATAGATTTTTGATGCTATTTCTTAAAGCAAAGGCAACATGATTTTTTTTAAAAAATAATAATTTATTATCGCATACTTATCGAATGAATGCTTGTAACACTTTTAATGTTATCTAAAACAGAATAGAGTAGAATGGAATAGAAATTGGAAGGAACCTTGGAAATCTTCTGATCTAACCCTAACCCTATACCATTTCAGACAAATGGCAATTTCTGAAGGTAAGCCATTCCACTGATTATTATTCTCACTATCAGGAAATTACTCCTTAGTTCTAGGCTGGACTTCTCCTTAATAAGTTTCCATCTGTTAATTCTTGTCTTCCTTGGGTATTTTAGAGAACAGGGCAACTCCCTCTTCTTTGTGGCAGCCCCTGAGATATTGGAACACTGTTATCATGTCTTCCCTAGTCCTTCTCTTTATTAGACTAGACATACCCAGTTCCTGCAACTGTTCATCATATGTTTTAGCCTCCAGTCCCCTAATTATTTTTGTTGCTCTTCTCTGCACTTTGCATTTTTCCTCTGCACTTATTTGCTTTTATTCTATTGTAAGCTGCTCAGTCACTTTGATAGTGAGATGGCAGCATATTTATGAATAAATTTCACACTCCACTTCATCAGATGCTCTTCCCAGCATTAACAGGAATATTTCTTAGAGGACTATATAACTCTAGTTTAAAAACTGAGTAAATATTAAGCACAATAGGTTAGCTAAACTTTTTTAAGTTGTGTGGCTACATTTTAAAATATATAGCTTGTGTAACTATTTAAGGTTAATTTGAACTAAGATTAACAAGATTTTCAAGAGATGCAAAACAAAGTTGCACTGTTTACTTAAAATCTAAATTATGAGTTTATAATCTTAGGTGTTTTCTTTTTCTTTCTTAATGTATGTGCATATTAATAGTTGTACAGTTGTTGCAAGTTCTACTGGAACAATGATAATTTAACTCACAATCTCCACACCATTTTTCAATTTAAAGACCTCCAAAACTACATAGTAATGAAGTGGGACCCAAGTGGGAGTTTTTTTGTTGATCCTTATAACGTAGGCTAATGGTTTCTTAGAAATTAATAAACAGTATCTGCATAAATGTCTCAGATTAAAATATTTTAAAGTTCTCAAGACACAGAGCCAGTGGTGGGTGTGGCTTGGTGGGCGTGGCAGGGGAAGGATACTGTAAAACCTCCAGTCAGAAGTGATATTTGCCAGTTTTCCAAACTACTCAAAATTTCTGCTACCCGTTCTCCAGAACTGGTCAGAACCTGCTGAATACCACCCCTGGAGCAGGCCCTTTGGCATAGGCGACCAATCCCTTCTCAGACATGGAGTTGGGAAAGGATTAGAAACCTTTTGAGGCCAATGGCCACACCTGAAACATTGGAAACAAATCCCAAATGTTGTCCCCCAAATATCTAGCACAATAAGCATGGCTAACTATCAGTTTTCAATGAGCCAATCATTGATGATTTAAAACATTTTAATCATCTGCTTCTTGCTATATTGATCTATCATACTTTTTAGCATCCCAGAAGGCTGTCTACCCCAACTTATTTGTGACTTTCGGATTGACAAACAGGCACACTTCCAAAGTGCTGGGCTATAACCACTGCCATCTTTAATTTTGCCTATTTAGTCTGCGTGGGCCTCAGTAAATAAAGTTTGCCTGGCATACTGGAGCATTCCAGTTTCTCATTTCATTTTTTTTAAAATAAATTCAGGTAGGCAGGGAGGTTGGCAGGTACCTGTGGTCACTGAGTTCCTCCCCATGTAGTTTTTCCCAAAGGTTTCACTAGATAGTGAGGTTGAAAGCCCTTTAAATATCCTTTTGCTGAGCTATACAAAATGATGGAGCCCTTTAAATTGCACAACCAAGGCATACACTAATGCAAGAACAACCTGCTTTGAGTACAGGCCCCAGTCAGCACCACGTGGCAATATCGTTATTTTTAGTTTCCAAATGTTTGCCAAAGGCGGCAGAAAGTTTGTTCTGGTCTGCCTTCTTAAATTAAAGTTAATCAAAAGGAGTTGTAAAGGTCTTAATGATTTGACGGGAAAAGGAGATTTTAGCAAAAAAATGAATTTCCCCCTAAGAAGTTACCGGGATATTATGACATGCTCCCATATCAAGGGGTGCTTTTTTTAATGAGCTGAAGTCATTAAATGACCAATGACCATTATCAACAAAGAAAAAAGCAATGATTTATTACCTACTAGTTTTAATTAGTATTTTTATTATAGTGCATTGTAGTATTATTACACACATAGACTGGTTATTCATTAAAAAAAAGAAAAGCTTACGTTAATTCCAAAACACCCCAGCATTTGAATAGGGCGGTAAATCAAATAAAAACTGTAAGGTTGAAAAAAGGTAGATTGACTAGGCTTTACACAGCGATCATCCTTGTGCGTCTTGCAGGGAGGCCCACCCCAGCGGATCCCAAACTGAGCCCCGCCCGCTCCGCCTCCCAGCCAAGCTGGCTCCCTTCCTTAACCGGGTCTATTTAGAACCGCTGCCACCTCCCGAGGCCAGCCGGGCTGCATTGTGCCCCCTTCCAGAGCCGGCGGCTTTCCCTTCCTGCTTTCCCGCAGCAAAACAGCTCGGAGCAAAGTACGAACGGAAGAAGCTGCAACAGCCTGAGCTATTGCTGACCCTGCCCGACTCCTTTCAGCCTTATGCCCTGCACTGGGCTTCCAGAAATCCGGGCCAGGGCTCCCTGAAGTGCCAGGGTGGCTCTGCGTCTTCATCTTCCACTGCACCGCTTCTGTTGCTGCTGCTGCTGCATCCCCAACTCCGCGCGGCGTGGCCGACTGGGGGATTTGCGGAGAATGCCTCCTGGATCCCGGGCTCGGGACAGGCGAGATTAGCTCCCGCCCCCGTCCCTCCCCCCTCTGGCTCCCTCCCTCTCGCCGCTTCCCTGCCAATTCAGCTCCGGATGCGCCTTGGCCAGCGCTCGGCAGGCACGTCTAAGCCGGGTTCTGCTCTCCTGCAGCTCCCCCTCTTTCCTCCTTCAGCCGATCGAGGCTTAGCTCGCTGCACCGTTTCAACAAGATGGCGGGATCGGTGGCAGAGAGGGACGCGGTGGTAAGTGGCCCTTTCCTCAAATCCTTCGCGGGTCCCGGGCGGCAAGGTGAGAGGTCCCGGCCGTTTCAGGTGGGTCGGTGGCGCCTGGTTCTGGTGGGGCTCTCTCGCCGGGATCCCGCCTGGCGACGGATTCCATCTGGGGGAAGAGGGGAGCTGCGGATTGGGATCTCGAGGGAAGGAGGGGACCTGTTTGCAGCGGCGTCAAGAAAAACGCCTCGGGGACTGAAAGGCTGTGGGGAGGGCTGGGCCCGCGATTTCTTATTCCTTCTCCTTGCCGGCGTGTGTGTGTGTTTGTGTGGGGGGGAAATAAGTGTATTTCGCGTTTTTGTACCTGGGTGATCAGGTGTGTGAGATAAGTGCCTAGATGGGGAGCGGGGGAGGGGTGCATGGATCTGAGCAGTCAGGCATAGAATTGTACCTGGAAGACTTTGCTGGGGAATTGGGAGGCAACACCCTTTGTTTTGCGAGAAGGGCTGGAAGAAAAAGATGGATTCTCTCTTCAAGACTTGAAATGAAATTGGCGCTCTGTTGCTCAGCAGCCTCCCCCCCCCCCCACAACTCCTTTCTTCCCCTTTCCATCCGTCCCTGGGCTGAACACAAAGGGTGCCTTCTATGTCTGAACATGTTGTTTTGTTTTTGCTTTTAGAAAATAGAGGACAGACTTTTAAACAACTCCTTGGGATCCCCAGTTCAAGCCGAAGTGTATTTTCCACGACTGGTAAAGGATTTGCTTTCCCTCTCTCCCTCTCTTTATTTATAAGCTGGCCTGATCTGGCCCCCTTCTCCTTCCACTCTGTAATCAGCAGCTACTCATTTTGACTCCCTGCAATCCTTTTCCAGATTGTCCCTTTCTGTGGGCACATCAAAGGAGGAATGAGGCCAGGCAAGAAAGTCGTGGTAATGGGCATCGTGGATCTCAACCCAGAGAGGTAACAAGACACAGGCCCAGCCTGCTTTCCCCTGGCAGGGCTTTTCCATCCCTGTCCATGCATTCCTTCTCTGTCCAAGAACCACCAGAAAAAGCCGTGTTCCCACAAGAAGAATGTATCTGCCCAACATCCATCATTCCCGAGGACAGTTATTTTTATCTGTAGTTGTAAATATAGAAACGTCGGTTTCTCATTTGACCTATAGGGAGGAGGCGGATATATAGATGTAATATTTATTTATAAGGGAATAACTCTTGTGGGCACAAGGAGGGATGCTTCACACGTGGTTTCTGGGTAGAGAGTATCTCCTTGGTAGGGGTGAAGGAACTAAATAGAAATGGAAGATACAAACTAGAGTGGGATACTTGAAACCTAAACAACGCCTACTATAATTATTGTTGGCAATGCTAGTTAGGAAGACATTTGTTTATACATTGGCTGCATCTTGGATTTCATTGCTTCTTTTGGATGAGTGAGGAGATATTCTTGCTTTTTACAGTTTTGACATCAGTCTTACATGTGGAGATTCAGAAGACCCTCCTGCGGATATAGCAATCGAACTGAAAGCCATATTTTCAGATAAACAGTTCCTCAGGAATTCCTGCCTATCTGGAGAATGGGGAGAAGAACAGTCATCTCTTCCATATTTCCCATTTATCCCTGACCAGCCCTTCAGGGTAAGTACGGAGGGTTTATTGACTAACCACTGACAGCGTTGACATTGATATAACTTTGATGCTTTTGTTCTGGGTGTGTTTCAGTGCTAAATTTTGCCCTCTAAATAACACTGTATGTAGACTATCTGTAGGAATGTAATATTAGGCAAACACCAAGACATACATTCCTTCTGATGGCAATTTATTCAATCCAGATAGAGAAACATGACAGCAAATAAAAGATAGCAATATTTAGAGGCACAGGAAACTTTCTTGGCATGGTTATTATAAACATAAATTAAACATGCCACTATTTGAAGGGGTTGCCATATGATTTCTATACTCATTGGTGTTGTTTTCCATGGCTTTTTGTTTTATTGAGTGTGTCTCCTTATTCTGTGTTGAAGTGCTTTTCATATATTGCTACTCACTCTCCTGGAATGAGTTTAGCTACTTATATCTATAACAGTCATAGCAATAGTGTTTTTTTTTAAACATACTTAATGTATTTTGATCTTATTCTTTTCTTTTACACCATCTCGTTATAATAAGAGAAAAGGGATGTAATTCAGGCAGTCCTCGACTTAAGATTACAATTGAGGCCAACATTTCTGTTGTTAAGTGAGACATTTGTTAAATGAGTTTTGCCCCATTTTACGATATTCCTTGCCTACAGTTGAATCACTGCAGTTGATAATTTAGTACCATGGTTGTTAAGTGAATCTGACACCCATTGATTTTGCTTATCAAAAGGGGACCACATGACTTTTGGACACAGCAACAGTCATAAGTATGAATCAGTTGCAAAAACATCTGAATTTGGATCACATGATCCTGGGGCTGTTACAAAGGTTGGTAATGAAATGTCTGCAAGAAAGCCACCAAGCTCAGAGAGCATCGAAGACCCTACAATTCAACTCTGAGCTACAAATATTCTCTTCTCTAGAGAAATTCTCTATTTTTGAAAGTAGCAGTAGAGACTTTGAAGACAAAGACTCAAAACCTCTTTTTTCCCCCACTTCCTGTCTTTGATTAGTTTTTAAGTTTTCCTGAATGATGTTTTCCCCCCAGGGGAGTCCATCTACAGAATAATTCAGTGTGGAAAAGTGGTCATAATTTTTCAGTGTCGCTGTAACTTTGAACGGTCACTAAATGAACTGTTGTAAGTTGAGGACTACTAATAATGTAATCAGATGCACATTCAAATGAAAAGCATTCTTAGACTCTTGATGTAGAGATAATCAACAAAGCAACGCATGCTGTCACAGCATTAGATTCAAATGGAAAGATAGGTTTTAGAGCTGTTTGTAGTTTAAAAGCCATTCTCCATTATTCATTCAGGCCTTCCGTGATTCTTAGAAAAAGGTTGCTTTTGATGTAAGAGCAGCATTAAAGATGCATTGTGAAAATAATTTGACTCATTAAAGCAGCTACATTTTTCAGGCTCAGAAGCCTGAAAAGGGAAATAATAAATAGCTTTAATAAATAGCAGAAAAAAGTGCTTTATTCATGATTGTCGAGCTACTAGATCCCTCTCCTCTTTTGATTCCATATACCAGGGGTGTCAAACTCATGTCATCATATGATATATCGGGACTTTTTTTCCTCCCCTCTGTTAAACTGGACATGGGCATGGCCAGCATGTGACATATCCGGCCTGCAGGTTTAGAGTTTGACAGCCCTGCCGTATACATTCATTGAAGATACCTATGCAAGACTAGGAGGAGCATTGGATTCCTCAAATGACACTTCAAAATATTCCATTCAGGTGGTCCAGGAGAATGTTGGAAAACTATCAAGACCATCTGCAGTGGTCCCACTGTTTTTTCGTCCTTGAAAATGTTTGCATTTGTGATTTTCATAAGATAAATCTCCCCCTTGTAGGGTTCTTAAATTAAGTCTTTATTTAATGAAATATGCAGTTTGATTACTTACTTTATTTATTTATTTATTTAGTTTATTTCTGAAGACCCTGAATGACCTACAGGATATTGTTGGGTAGGGTATAATACGTACTTATAATAAATGCAGTCCATAGCAACTTGCAAACAATCTGATGAGCCGTCATTTAAAGGTCTTATTCATCCCCCAAAGCCCTCCTGTCATATTTTCATAGCTATTCCAAAATAAGAACAGTGTGGTTTCAGATATCAGGAAGTAGAGTTTTTCAAAGGAAGGTGTCATATTGGGACTAGAATCTTTTAAACTGGAGGTGTATCCAGGTTTGCAAAGATGGCAATTGACAGAGAAAAAGACAGTGGCAATGTCTATGCTTACTTTTACTATGTATACTGAAACAATTTACACCAGTGGTTGCCAACCGGTGGGCTGGGGACCACTGGTGGTCCATGAGAAAATTTTGGTGGTCCGCAGAGAAATGTCCCCCCCAAAGCAATTAATTTATGCTGTGCCAGAACACAAGGCTGTGCCACCCACATGGCCCGCCCACCCGCTGGCTCCCACTCTTCGGCCAAGCGCAAACCTTACCTTGAATAGAGCTGGAACTGGAAGGTAAGACCAACAGTGGAGGGAAATCCGCCCCGGGGTGGCTTGCTGATGTTGGTGGGAAAGTTGATCCCATATTCCAAAGCTGTAGTAGTCACAAGACTGGCCCTTTGGTCATCCTGGAGCAGCTGCTCCTCCACCCAGATACACTGGCCTGCCATGGATTTTCCCACGAACATCAGGAAGCTACCATCAGTCAAAATTCATATTAGTGGTCCACAGGAATTAAAATTATGAGTTTGGTGGTCCCTGAGGTTCAAAAGGTTGGCGACCCCGGATTTACATAGTAAAAGTATTTACTACAGGTACATACAACACAATCCTGGCTTTTGCTGGTTGTCAAATCCTAATCTGTCTCTCAGAGAGTTTTCTCTAATTCTCCTGCTAACTGCTTTATTTCCTTCCTCTTCATTCTATCTCCTTCCCATTTCTGGGCTTATTACTGAAAGTGAAAAGAAAAGAATGGACTCAAATCTTTCTGGATCCACCTGGCTGGTTACCTTCTCCCCTCTTGGGGGGAAGAATCACCTTCAAGGTCTTCTGCCCAGTCCTTCCCCAGAGATCAGACCGTTTCCAACTATAGCCAATTCGCTCCTTCTTGGGTGAAGATGTCATCTTGCTGGGACTTTCCTTCCCTTCCTCCAAGGAAGCCACCATGGATTATTCGTCTCCTCTCTGGCCATGAACCGAGAACTGTTCTATATGCTTATGTAACTTCACTCTTCATCTTTTCTCTCCAGCTACTCGCATTTCTTTTTCTCTTCTCTAATTTTGAGTCAGAACAAAATGGAATTCCCTCAGCAACTGAGAGGTGGATGTCTCTCTAGGACTCTAGTCCCCATGGGCCATTAAAAACCATATGCCATACAAGGCTATCACTGAAAAGATGTGACTATATGTTTCCTCTGTTGGACCATAATCAAGTCTCCTCTTGACCTTATTAGACAGGCAGATTCAACCATGAGTTGTATAGGGTTTGAAAGGTGAACATCAGCATCTTGAATTGCATTCAGAAGCTAAGTGCCATCCAGTAACATTCCTATTCAGGTAGGCCTTGCCTTATGCCCATAGTTGAGCCCAAAATTTCTGTTTCTAAGTGAGACAGTTAAGTGAGCTTTCCCCCATTTTGCAACCTTTCTTGCCATAATCATTAAGTGAATCACTGCAATTGTTAAGAACCCATATGTTAAGTGAATCTGGCTTCTCCATTGACTTTGCTTGTCAGAAGGCTGCAGAAGGGGACCACATGACAAAGCTCAACTTTGTCATGCTATCTACCTGCTGTTGAAACGTGGACTGCTGGTATAAAAGGATCTCCAAGGTATAACCGCAATCCCACCCAGGGTCAATGATAGACTACATCCAATCTCAGTCAGATTTTTGACCCATGTTCGCCCTGTCTTACTGACGTTCAATGTTAAGTCTGATTTTCTCATCCAGATGCTAACAGCTTCTAAGAACTGGGCTTGCTGTGATGGAATATTTAACCAGGTATCATCTGTGCATTGATGATGCCTCATTCTGAGTTGACCTCTTCAGAAGCTTCACATAGTTATTCAACAGCATTGACCTTATATCTCAATTCTGATGATCACATACTGATCTCTTCTCTCAGCCAACTGGAAGGACATTCATTCCTAGATGATTTATTGGGCTGGAATGAGAAGAAAAAAATAATGTTTTTTTTTAGAACTTTTAAGTTTTCTTATGTATCTCATATATTTATGTTACAGTTCTCCCCTGGGGGACTCTGTTCTCTAGGATAATGATAAGAAACAGTGCCATATAAGGTTTATACTTTACAAACTGGGCTTTTAATTCCTTTGTGACTAGTGCATCTTGGGATTATGTGATTCCTTGTCTTTTGGTAGAGGTCAGTTAGATCTATTTATATATAAAATGCATTACTTCGTTCTTAGTAAGTATTGAGTGGAAACTTGTGAGAAACCAACATTGTAATGATAGTTTTCAATATTGTTTATTACTGTTTTACTTTTTAAAAGATGTGAGGAAGAAAAACAAGTTTAAAATACAGGATAAGTGATATACACCGATTTGAAGTTAGCTCAGCTTTCTAAACCAAACAAGTCCTGCATTAGTTTCCATTGATTGGACTTCTCCAGTAATGTTACTGTTATCCTAAGAGCCACATTGCATTTGTTTTCAACACTGATTTTAGGACATGAACACAATATATTGCTTAAACATTATCTCTTTTGATGTTTACTATATCAGAAAACTGAGTAATTTAAAAATATTATTTAATATTTTAAATACCATATTTTTTGCACTATAAGACGCTCCAGACCATAAGACATACCTAGCTTTTGGGGAGGAGAACAAGAAAAAAAATCTGCCCCTGCCTCCCAGCAATTTGCCTCCTTGCAGCAAACAGCCTGGTCAGCTTCAGCACAGCCTGATTTAGCACGAGCAGCTGATTGGCAGTTGGATCAGCCTCTCAGAATACCGATGATCAGCTGTTCCAGGCTGCAGGGATCGCTGCTGCCCATCGTCACTGGTGATTGCTGCTGCCACCTATCACCATTTTCGGCCTCCGTGCACCCCATTTTTGCCCTCCGTGTGTCCCGTATTTGGCCCATTCCAAGCGAGGATCACTGCTGCCTGCTGCTGCCGTTCAGTGACAATAGGCGTTGATGGCAGCAATCCCTGCCACCTGAAACGGGCCAAAAACGGGACCCATGAAGGCAAAAAATGGGGCATGCAAAGGCCGAAAACGTGTGCAGACGGCAATGGGCGGCGATCCCCACAGCCTGGAACAGCTGATCAGCAGTATTCCAGGAGACCGATCCAACCGCCAATCAGCTGCTTGTGCTAAATCAGGCTGTGCTGAAGCTGACGAGACTGTTTTCTGTTTGCCGCAAGGAGGCAAATTGCTGAGAGGCAGAGGCCGAAGGGTGGGAGCCGGCAGGTAGGCAGGGCTTCAGCAACATTCTCTCTATAAGACATTTCCACCTACCTTTTTGGGTGAGAAAAGTGCATCTTATAGTGCAAAAAATACGGTAATTGTGAACCCTCTGATAAGAACCATTAATTTAAGCAAAATATCATTTGGGTTTGAGTACTAGATTTTGTTGCCTTCCGGCTGTAGAAATGAATATAATTCCTTGTATGTGTTTAGTATAGTATTCTCTGAATTATAACGCTTCCAGCAACAATCAGTGATGATGTTTCCAGCAAGTGATTATACTCTTTAATGGGCTTTCCCAATTATAGGGTATAATATAGGGCTTCTTCCAGAACTGTTGGATGATGGGTGTTGTAATCCCCAACAATATGATCATCGGTAGTCTACTCCAGCATGTTAGATCATTGATGGTCTGCTCAATTGTACTTCATTTGAAATACTAGAGATATTGCTTGTCATCAGACAAGGAAAACTCAGTTGTCAATAAGAAAATTTGAGGAATCATCTTGAACACTGTTCCAGTTTCTAAATTTTGTGGGTGTTGAGAAGAAATTTACAAGTTAGATACAATTAAGGATTTTTTTTGTGTGTGTGTGGCAAATATTTGCTTTCAAGTAACTTTATATGAATAATGAAGATGAGACCAGAACATTATTTATGGGTATTTGGAGATCTTTTTTGAAAAAGGTTTTAAAATTTCTAAATGAAATTTTGCTTTTGTCTTCCACTTAAAATGATCATGGTTTAAAAGTGCTTGGCTTTGATTAATTATGTCCATCATCATTGAGTGCTCTCTTTCTTTTTATTCAGGGATACGAGAAGTGAATGTCTTAAAGCTTCAGGGTTGTGCAGAGTCCCAAGAAATAGAAGCAAAAATGTATTACAAATTGTAATAGTTAATGTAACAGTGAAGCGAGATTATTAACTACATATAGTAACTATAGTGTAGTTGTATCAATATACAATACTTTTTATTAAATAGAGACAAAATAAAATGTTATATTTCTGTCCTGGCAGCAGCCATTATTTTTGGAAGGAATGAAGTCTCTACCTTATCATTCAAAATTCAGGTGTATTATTTGATTTTGATTTTTTTAATTTTCATGTTTACACACCATCATCTCCCAAAGGACATTGATATTTGCTTCTACAGTTATTAAGTACTCATATACATAGGCTTGAATTTAAGGTACCTGGCATGAAACTGTTTGCGCAAATAAAAGCCTTAGCGTGTTAAAGAGTAAAGAAAGCTAGTACAACAGAGTGTTTGAAGTTTTGAACTAGGCTTGGAGAGAACAAATCTTCCTTTAGACATGAAAGCTCGATGGATGATCAAGTGCTGGATATTCTCTCTCAGTGTAGCAGTGGTGATATTGTGGGGTGAAATCGGGTGAAAATCACAAGTTAGGTATACTGCTTTGAATCCCTGAAAGAATGCAGGATATTAATTTAAAAAATCTTCAACTGTGTTCGACTAATAGTAAAATGATGCAATTGGCAAATAAGGCTCTCCCTTTTTTTCCCTCTGCAATTTACAAGATCACAAATTACAAGATCTACACAAATTAACTCTGTGTAAGGAGACCATGAGAAACTCCAACCCCACCTTTAGAAATTGACTTGTATGAGGTTGGATGCAGCCCTTTATTTGCATCAATTAACTATTAGAATCCTCTCTTTTAAATACTGAATCAGAGAAAGATTTATATTCACACCAGAGATTTCCTTTAAGTGTTCTGAAAATACATATAGTAGGCTGATGGAAGAATTTTGCAAAACCTAAGTTATGGATATGCTTTCCCCATCTAGTTATGGGAGGCGTTAAGTATTAGACCTTTGCACACTGGTATTAGAAAAAAAAGACCAGAGTATTATCTATGAGGTTCATAATTAACATGCTGAAGAAGATAACCTTAGCTATTCAGTTATATTTCTTTATTTATATCCCACGATCTGCATTGCTATAGTACCATACTGTCTTTTCCTCCTTATCTACACCAGGCACCCAGTGATGCCATCAGTACTTTGATTATGTTCTGCCATTTTACTTTTCCATTTGCTTTAGTTAATTACGACTTGAGTTAATAACTGGGAAACTATACTTATTCTCTGACTATAAATATGAAACTATATTTGACTTGGGGGCTTAGGAATATCAATCAACGATTCTGTGAGCAGGTTTTCTTTTCTCAGCTGCAAATAAATAGCCTTTCAGTTCTGCATGGATCACTGTGTCTGTCTACTTGGATTGCAAAAGAGGACATATGTGAGTGATCTAATCCAAATCACATAGGTGGTCAAAGCTGTGTAAGATAGCACATCTTATATCAACGCTACTTGTGAGTCCTTCAAATGTTCCTTCCAATTAAAATTGTGGTCCTCATTCATACTTTATTTCTTACAGGTTGAAATATTATGTGAACACCCTCGTTTTAGAATATTCGTGGATGGACACCAGCTTTTTGATTTTTACCATCGCATTGAGAAGTTATCAGCTATTGATACAATAAAGATAAATGGAGACCTCCAGATTACTAAACTTGGTTGACCTAGGTTTTTCAAATTATCATTAAAAAAGAAAAAAAAAGATAACCAAAATTTTAGATTCCAAATTGGCTCGGGTTCTGTTAGACTCTGTCTGAAGAAGCAATGAGAATTTCGTTTGGGACACCCAGCTACCAGACAGGGATCATTATTGTCTTCTCAGCAGCAAAAAGACATGTTGATGAATTGAACTATTGTTTATTTGAATGAAGAAAGCACTTAATGTTAAATAGATACTGAGCCGTCCTTCTTTTATGGAACTAAAAAGCCTATCCCTGCTGGATAATCACATTATAATGGATCTTGAAAGAGTTACTTCATTGTCTAAACTGTATAAGCTATTTATCTTCCCAATAAGAGGGCAGGTTTGGAAATCAACTGCTAAATCTATTACAACGGTGACTTTTCTTTTTGCAAATCATCATCATCATCTTCATCATCATAAAAAAGTTATCCCGCACTTAAGGGGATTAATGTAAGTGTGACACCAATCACAAAAATCAGGCCAAATATGGAAGTCATTATTCAATGCCTATAGTTGATTTTATTCAAACAAGTAGCAAAGGTCCCATAGATGTTAATGGTGCAGTGTTAGCTGGACAGTGGCAGTGGTCTATCACATGCTTACCTCCTTCACCCCACAGAATCAAGGGAAGATAATATACCTAATTACAAGATTGTGGCCACTTGAATTGCCAAGGAAAACGTAGAAACTGAGTAATGGCTTCTGAATTTAGCCTGCATATTTTAGTCAGGGTATGTGTATAGAATGTAGGTCATTACATGTTTTGCACAATGTAATATTAATACAATCTTCTAAGAGCTTTCCTCTAGTTTATTTATTGGTGCTCATTGTGTTAATGTATTAACAGAAAAGTCGAACAATATTGAAGCTTTAGAGAGGCAAAGTATAAGCATTCTCAAAATACAATGTTGTAGTAACATATCATTTTGGAAATACCTGCTGTTTATCTTAAGGTGGTCGGGGATATTTTTGTGGTGCCCTCACAATGTCACAAAAGATTATTGTCATGTTTTCACCAGAAATTGCTTTCAGTATGTTGTAATTTTGCAGTGAATGATATTCAGAATTCACTCCTTCCCTCAGTGAATAAGGATTTCTAATTTAATTGGGATATGCATAGTCTGCAGTCCTATTATACTCATTATCCAAGAGTAAGCCCCCTTCTGGGCAATGAAATTGATTTCTAAGTAAACATAAGATAGCACTGTTTGAGTTTGAAAATACCATGCATTTTTGCAAACCAATGCCCTTGGTGGCTGCTGTCCTGGTTGAAGGAGGGGATGAAATTCTCAGCTCATCTAAGGACAAAAATTTAACCCTTATAAATGGCCCAATTTATAATTTAATCTAATTTTCCTAGTATAGGAATATTGGATGTTGACAAATAGTACTTTTTATTGAAGAGCATAACTGTGTTATCACTAATTATATTACAGAATGAATGAATGAATGCAGTGATCTTTTTCCCCTTGGATCTTAAGTAATCAGTGCAATTTACACACGTGGGACCATATTCACAGTGAACTACAAAGGGTTGGTTTGAATGTTATGGTGTGAAGAAAAAGGTGTATTTGCATTATTTTTAGAATTTGTATTATAGGGACTTTTAAAGACATTTATTATGGAGACTTTTGTAGTATAACTTTTTTTAAAGGCAAAAAAAGGAACAAAATAATTTATGCTTGAATCATAAAGAAGGTCTGTTTCCATCAATCAGAGCGGGAATCTTCTTATTTAAGATTATATACAATTGTTTTATTATGCATCAACTCACCCTATCTGATCTTTGAGTTCACATCTAACACAGTTAATGAAGTGGAGGCATTAATTTATCTCTTAGTCTAGAAATCTGTAGAATAAACATGGCTTCCATTATTGACCCCAGAAAGAATAATTAGTTGTGTGCACTCCCTCTATGTTGGGTTATAGTTATGTAGTGTGTTGCAAAAGTGATTGACCTAAATGGTTTGAAATTTAAGAAAAATTGGAACCGCATCACACCCAGTCTCTTTGCATGGTCGCCTAAAAGTAGTAGCAGAACTTTGTGGCGCTCTTTGGCACAAAATAGCTATAGCTATTTGAAAAAATGCTTGAGAAAGTGGGGAGCAATGGCTTCCTTGCCTTTAAGAGGTGGAAAAGGGTTCCAAAAGATTCCTTCAGGATTCACTGCAGCCAAAGGAGTATCACAAAGTAACCAATTTACTAGGGAGTTAATTTTGCTTAATATCAGTGGAACTTTTTTTTGTTAAAATGTGACACTGCAAAATTCATTCACTGATGGTTGTAGGATTTATTTCTACAAAAAATATACTTAGCAGCCATCCTATAGGACTTTCTTAGGCACATTTATTTAGAACAGGCCAATTAGACATGAACGTAATTGCCAGATAATCTTAAATAGAAACAATATGACATGGTTCAGACTTAAGAATGGAGCTGATTGTTTTTATTGAAAGTTGTGGGAAAGGAGTCAGTCTTGACTAATTCTGGCTAGGATTGGAAAGCATGTTAAAGCCACAATATTTGGTATACTTAAATATTAAACCTATTTATTTAGACAAAGAATATACAATATTTTTAAAATAGCATATTACTTCTGAAGTAATATAATAATTTGCAAAAATCTGCATATTCTTGGGTAATTTGTCCATTGAATGCTTCTGTGAGCAAATACTGCACATCAGGGTAAAAACCATATTACGAGATGAGGAGCATATAAATTTGATAAATAAAATAACATTCTGACTGAAGTTGGACTCAAGCTACTATCTGGTCCGGCAATATGATGAACAGCTCAGTCTGCAAACTGATTTACAAATCAGAATTCCTGAAGCTGCATGAAACTAATCACAGTTTTAAGTATGTGAATTTTCACTTGGAAATAAATGACCGGATCATACAATAGAATCTCACTTTTTACGTAGATTCTCCAGAAATCTTCACCTTCTACTTTCTTATGCTTGGCACACTTTTATTTCTGTCTGCTGGTTATTCTTGGTTATTTGTCCTTCAAAAGTCCACCTGTGAGAATAATTGACATCCCCTGAGTTTTTGCAAGATTGTTTTGTCATTATAGTTAGGTCTTTGAAGATTCATTAAATACAGTTACCCTGAAATGTGCTACTGGAAGAAGCTTAACTTTGAATACCCTGATTTACCCTTATTCCAAAGTAATATCATACCCTCAATTGGCCTTTCCAAACTTCCCTTGATGGGGATTAGGGGAGGTGTAGTCTGGCACATTGGGGGGACTAGGTTAGGAAAGACTGATTACTTTTCAGGTTACAGTTTCCACTACTTCTTCCCAGTAACTTAAGTCAATTTATATGTCATATTCTCTTTGTATTTCTATTAGATTCTGTGTGGGATTTTTACCAGGATTTATACCATCTCTCTCTCTCTACATATATATATTGTTAAATTGTGCCATTTTTTAATGTCTTAAGAAATCCAACAATATTTCTATATAATACAAAAGAGAACAAGCAAGAAAGATATTCTTGAAAATAAAAGCCAGAGAGGAAATTATTTTATTTATATGTTTGGATTATTTTTTTCTACCATATATCAATATGCAGGCAGGCTAAGGAACTCTTGACCAATAGATCTCTAAGGTTTTGAGACTGAATTTATTTTTTTCTAATGCTTAAGATTACAGGAATAAAAATGCCATAATTTTTCCCATGTGGAAATATCTGGTAACTTTTAATTTTATCACTTCACAGCAAAAAATTGGGAATTTCTAGCTTTCTAGATGTTGCTGAATTAATTTTCAGCATCTTAGCTCTGCTTTCTATAACTATTATAATTTAGCTATAATAATTTCTGCATAATAATTTCTGCGTAATAATTTCTATCTATAATCAGATGTTAGAAACAGAATGTACACTAAAATGACGTAATTTTCTGCTTTAAGCGTCAGTCTTGAACATATTTTCTAGGGATTCAGCTTCATTGGGACATCATACAGTTCAATACTGAATTAAAATATCTAAAACCATATTCTGTAAGTAAAGCTGCAATTCTGAACATACCTTGAGAGCGTTGTCTGATTGGATATGCAAATGATTATTCAGCTCTGTTCCTTGATAGAACAGATTTCTCAATTCACTAGTGGTGAATCCTTCTGAAGAAGATATTTTAAGTGTAAAGTTGACTTAAAACACCTGAAATTTGATTTTTGATGATAACAGAAAGATCAATCTATTGTTCTATCCAGGTTTTAATTTTGGCTGCTAATGAATTTGGCCTTGCTTATTAACTAATCAATTTAAAACCATAAGTATATTTTCTGACCTGCATGAGATTCTACTATATCTGGTTATGCTATCCATGACTAAGCCAAAGAGACAATAGAGAGAATAGCCCAAACACCTTTCTGTAGCATGCTGCTTCTTTTTGTTTTAGAAGACATGCTGATCCCGCTGAAAGAAGACTGTGATTTTCGTTTGTTGTGGGATCCTTGGTGCTCTCTGAAGCTGGCTGTTTTCTTGAAAGATGCTTCATTACCCAAACTAGGTAACATTCATGCTCTGAGCATTGATGAGGTTATCTAGTTTGAGTAACGAAATTTCTGCTAGGAAAACACCGAACTCAGAGAGCACCAGAGATCGTTTCAATCCTGAATTATAAATATTCTCCTTTATTGATTTGATTGGTTGATTTATGTGCTGCCCATTTCATCTAGAAGTGGCCCATAAATCTTTTTTAACTTTTCAAGTTTTAAGTTGCTTCGTTCCTGGTGAGGTTTTTGACACAGTGAGATGCTAGTACCACTTGAAGAATCTATTAAAATCTGACTATCTTGCTTAGAGAATAATTGCTCTCCAGCTTAATTAAGGTAACACTATGTTTATACCTACTTGAAACCATTTTTTTACCAGCTCTTCAGATGAAAAGAGTCTCAGAACTGCCCACATAAAATCAGTAATCTTACTCATCTACCCTTTTAAGCTTAAAATCTAAAAGACATAAGAAAAAAAGGATAAGGAGAAAAGAGAAACACACCAATTCAAACAATTTTTTTCCCCTCAAATCACAATTATGCTATTTACATTGAACAACATTTAAAATAAAATAAAATGTAAAGGCAAGATAGTCTTAAGCCAATAGTAGTCAAGATGGTTCCTACTCTGCAATACCACAAACCCATTCAGCTAGCAGCATAGGTAAGTTTTTCAGTCAGTTTTCCACACAGCACAGGGGACAGAACAAAGCACAACTCAGATTTCAGTATCTAACGGAACATGGATACTGAAATATTTCTCAGGTAAGATTGACTATTTCCTTTCAACATGGATTCAGTTGAGAGAGGATGGGGCTTAACACTTCATATCATGTTGGTTGAGCTCTCACAGGACACTCGGGTGCAACACTAACCTATTTTCTGAGTTTGCCCCATATACTGAACCAAAGACTAGCCAAATGGGTTTGATTTGCATAATACTCCTAGATTAAAAAAGGAAACAAATTTCACCTGGAACATCCATGTTCAGAAAATACTGAATTGTTGTACAGTATATGGTAGTACTGGAGCTGCATAAATCAGCCCCAACCTGGTGGCAGACTGGGATTTTGTGTATCTCTGTTGACATCTAGCGGTCCTCCAAAGTATTGCAGTCTATACAATACTGAATTGTGGAGAGAGCATAGCTGCTATATATGTACTGTACAATAGAAGCTCCAATCCAGCTTGACTGCATTAGGGCAAATGCTATGAATTTTTTCTCATTTTTTTCTGCAGTAGAGCTCACAGTGGGATGCATTGCAGTAGAATGATTCCATTCTCACTTGCAGAGTATGGCCAAGTACTCTTCTTTCTTTTTTTTTTTTTTGTAAATTTTATTTGAGTTTTCACAAAATATAATACAAATAAAACATCCTTTTTGAAAGTAGCATGGTCCCAGGTTACACTTCTTCATACAGACACAAATTCAATTTCATGCTCATTTTTGTGTTCTGTTCCATATCTTATTACTGTTTTACATTTTCTACATAGCTTTTCTTAACTCTACATAGCCCCTCTTAATTTTCTTAATTTTATTTTGATTATCTCGTCTCAAGTCAAATCATGATATTTATACTTTTTGTCTGTTCTTTTTCAATTTCATATTATCCTTTCTCATTAAACAAATTTTCTCCTGTAGTTACTAATTGGAGTATGACACCTTTATATCTTTTAGTTTTATCCATTTAACTCTTATTTAAGCTTCAATGTATACCTTAAAGTTATAACATCCAATATAATACATAACTTCCAATCAAATTCTGCTTGGTACATTCTTAAAATACACACTATATTCTTTAAAAAAGATTAAAAATATATGTAATTAAAACACTCATTCCATTCCAATTCAGTTCTATCATTAATATTAATGTTCATTAAAATCTTAACTTCTTTAACATTACTTTTCAATTAAATATCATACTTCTTTAGGAACAGTTATAAGTTTTCCATAATTATTTTTCCCCCTATTCCTCTTCACTTATATTTTATAAAACATTGAATAATTAAAATCTTCCCATCCTTTCCTAATTCAATTCTCTCAT